GTGATAATCGTTGCAGAAATTTAGAAAGTACAACATTACAGCGCAATATAACAACAATGCGAAACAGTTGCACCATAGATACACAACAATAAATGAAGCATCAATACTGAACTCAATCAAATAATGTGCAAATACAGTGTGCAATCGTCTGAAACATCGCTAGCAAAGTATAAGGAAAACAAAAACCATGCAAGCGTTGCAGATGCTGCGCCCATGTATGAACAAAAAGTGCAATCCTTTGAAACAGCGATGCAAAAAGAAAGCAAAAAAGAAACAACAATCTGCACCTACTGCACCTGTGTATGAAAAACTGTGCAGTAGTCTAACCATCTGTACAAATACAAATGTGGTCATCAACAGAAAAATTCCCACGAGAAATGAAACATCCTAAATTCATTCATAAAGAAAAAATCCTTCATATTTATAAATTATCATTCCAATATTCGTCCAATTCTAAAATTTTCAGTTTTATTTGATAAGTTCTTGTCTAAATATGAGCTTTCCCTTCCAACTACATCTATTTGTTCAAGACTGAATGAAAGTCTGGACGAGTTTATGAAATGTTGTAATTAAATTTTCATTCTACTACGACAAATATCTTCTAATTTAGATTGAATTAACCTATTTATGACTGAAAATCCCTACTTAGAATGACAGTCCAATTCAAATATTTCATGAACTCATCCATACTTTCATTCCATCTCTAGCATGCAGTCCAAATAAAAAGGGATACCCTATTCTTGGAATGAAAATTTGCAAGTAAGAAGGAAAATTTTAAAATTGGAAAGACATTTTTTAAGATGGAATGAAAAATTGAAATTTAGATTGTAATTTTAATATAAAATTATTATTTATTTCTAGAAAAATTTTCCGTTGATGACGAAACACTAAATATAATATAGACTACACCTATGAATACATCACATCATCCGAAGCACTAAATGTAGTATACACTACTACAAAATACAAGACGAAAGAGAACTATTAGTGAGACTAAGCATCATCGTCGTCCACAATGTCCTTCCTCCTCTGCGTCGCCACACCTGTGACACCGTCGCCTCCACTTGTGCCGCCTACCGGCTTGTGCGCAGTACCCGGAGCATGAACCCCCCCCTGTGGCGCCGCCTCAACCCTGCATTGTGCTCGAAGAAGGTCGTACACGGAAGCCCTTCTCTGCATGTTGTCTGTGACGGTCGCTGCGCAGGCATCGTCCTCACATCCTCCCCCAATATACGTCCGGCCATGCTCCTCCCGGGGGGGCCATTGTGCTCCGCCTCCTCCCCCCTACCTGGTATGAGCCCCTCAGTACGTGGCATCGCCGCCGCAGCAGGTGCTGTCATGGGCTGCTCCGTCCCCCGGTTGGAGGCCCTCTCCTGCCAACCTACTGTGTCCGCGACAACGTCCCGGGCCAATGCCTCCCGAGTCCGCGGATGTAAACCGGCCAACCAGGGCTGACTCTCCCGCATTGCATGCGTCACCCTCCTCACAGTACTGAGACTCTTGCCTGCTTTCATCTTCTTCTTCCCTGATTTGGGAGAAGGAGACTCTGCAGGTGCCGGTGCGGTAGTGGCACCCTCAGCATGTACGGAGGTCGTGCCACCAGTGGTGGACGATGGCAGTGATGGGCTGCACGGCACGTAGGCTGGACCCTCTGCCATGAACCTCCTCGACGCCTCATCCATCCGTCCGCATCGATCTGCATGCAATGGGTCCTCCCGTGCCTGCCGCTCCAACTCCCCCGCCGTCATGGCTCCACCGATAGGCAATATACAAACACCCTGAAGTGGCGACGCGGGACTCTCGCATGCATCCCCACCGCCCGCATCGCCACACTCAAGCACTGCATCGTCCGTCGCACGATGACCCTCACCACCGCCCGTCTCGAGCATCCGCTCTGTCCGTGCCCTCAACACAATACTCTGTGTCATCTCGCAACAACTAGCCAAGTCCTGCGCCCTCTCCCTCTCCTCGCGGTCGATCCTGTCCTGCTCCGACTCTGGCGCTCGCTCCTGCACAGGTCGACAATCCCTACCGTCCCATGCTGCACACTCCTCCTGCCCCGACGAACCCTATGTCCCCGCTGCTGCCTCCTGCAACATGCTGCTACTGATGTCACCCATGCTGCATGAAGGTATATCCCGGAGTATCTGACTAACGGGCCTAGCCGCTGCGTTCGCATCACCACTGCCATGCTCGCCTGCCGTTGTCGGAGGAAACCCTAACGAAACATCCAACATACCACTGAAACTACCACCCAACTGCGCAGAAGCACTCCCAACCTGTGCAGCCTCGTCAGCAACCTCTGCAAACCCGCCTGCTACCTCCTCAGACGGCGATGCGTAATGTGCAGTGGAGGGAGCGGCCTCTGCAGTGGCCGGCGCCGACGCAGCACCACCAAACTCTGCCGACCCGGCGTCAACCTCTGCTGTCGCGGCAACCTCATCGACCCAGTGCACAGTGCGAGTGGACGAAGCAGACTCTCGCCTCGCCCGTCCTCCGCCACCACGACCTGCAGCCCCCGCGTCTTGTCCGGCCCCCACGCCCCTGCCTGCACCACTGCCTCCCCTGCCTGCACCACTGCATTGGTCGGCAGGCTGTCGACCCGACCTCCGCAAACCACCTGCAGCCTGTGTACCATCGTCGCCCTCGTCGTCATCGTCGTCGTCGTCACCACGTCCGCGTGTTGGGGAATAGGTGGGATCATCCTCGTCCTCACTGCTGCCCTCGTACCCCTCTCTGACATCGTCGTCGTCGTCTCGTCCCTCCTCAACAATATCCCGAGTCCCCTGCTCGCCATGTCCTGGACGATCTGTAGGTGGAGGGGGATGCTGCGCAATGGCTCCAGTGGAAGCCTGACAACTCGAAGGCGGAGGTGGAGGGGGAGGGTGAGGGGGCTGTTGAGCAGCGGTTGAAGTGGAAGCACGAGCACTCGGGGGCGGAGGTGGAGGGGGAGGGGGGTGCTGCGCAGTGGCTGCAGTGGAAGCACGCGTCCGAGGACGCAACATCTCTGCGAGAGGAACATTGTCGCCCCCATCATCAAAATTTCCCGGCTCTGACTCCGCTGCCAGGTCGTCTGGATCGAACCACGGCTCCGCCTTGATCGGGTCCTGAGCCATAGGATCAGGCTTTGGATCGTACACAGCGTCCAACTCAGTTGGCATGAGCACCGTGGCGCGACGACCGAAATACATCTCAACGCTAGGCGGAGCCTTCGAAAGGCGATCCTTCCGCCCGCGCTGCACCTGTCGCTCGCGCTGCGCCTCCGTGACTCGGTCAGCTGGCCGAACACCCTCGTCACGAGGCGGAGGAATACTATCCTCTGTCTCCTCCTCAGCATCCTCCCATGGCAGAACGTACCCTTAACCCCTCCCCTCACAACGACTCAATCTCAAGTTGGTGGATATCTCTACCAAACGAGCTAGCTTGATAAAACCAAGCTGGTTACGCTTCTTCACCTGAACACGCTCATGGACGACCCAGTTCCTCTCCGCTGGAGAGGCGCACGTCCATGTGTGTGTCAAGCGAATGGCGTAACTATGAAGGAGAGGGACCCCGTCCCCGTGCTGAACCACCACTGCCCCACCTGCGACGTCTCCTTCTCCCCTTTGCAGGAGGTCGCATCCCTGTCACCCTTAACCCCTCCATACGTCCAATCACCCTCCCGGCTCAGAAACTCCGCCAACTGCGTGCGCAATGTCTGATACAACTCCTCATCTCTGCCATTCTGCTGGCGAAGGTATCGCAGCGACTCCTCCGTGAGTGTCTTGTCGTGCTCGATGCGCCTCGCCGATCCAAAATACGTAACGCCTTTCCAACAATCCAAAAAGGGGCTCTCATCATAAATAAAAACACCCCCTCTTCCAAAAAAATCGCGAGGGTTCTCGCCATAAAACAATACATTCCCTCTTCCAGAAATCATGAGGGTCTCATTATAAACAAAACACCCCCTCTTCCAAAGTCACGAGGGGTTTYGTCACATCACAAAATATCACAAAACATCCCCCCTTTCCAAARTCTAAGGGGGTCCCTTCATAAAACAGAACATCACTGAGAGACCATCTTATGGGTCTTCATCATAACTTAGATAACTTTCACAGACGGACTGCGCTTCCTTCTCTTATACCCTGCCTTATCAGCTGCCGTGGGCAGGCCGCACAAGTATACCGAGAAGTAGACAGTTTTACTTACAATCATACTCATAGTATCAATAATACARCAGATGTTTGTCACACACATCCTCCACACAAAACTCATCATACACCAGAGTACAACTACACATGCGAGAGTGACAAGCGATCGTCATATATATGAGTGGTTAAAACCCTCATCAACAGTATACACTCAGAGAAAATAAAACATCTCATACGTCACACCAAACCTATACTAACAACTGCCCCTAGGATACATGTYAGATCTGTGTCTCAAAGGTCAGGCGTAGGCTACCTAAATATGTATACGCCTCATCTAAATCATCCTGACCCTCAAAACCCCAACTTAATATAAACACTRGAGTTCAGATCTAGATTAATAGTAATCATCAAAATGTCCTCTAAGTCTAAAATGGTATTACACAGAACCCAAGTTGATACCTCTCAAAATACTCGCTCATTTATATAGACAAGACCGACCCTACCTCCTCAATTCTTCCTGGTTTTGCCTATATAACTGAGCCCTAAGTCCATCTGCGGACTTCTCTACTATCTTACCTTGTCTATCATACATTTTACCCCCTACCTCTGAGACTTTCCCTGCTGYCTTATCCTCAAGAAACTCGAGACAGTCCAAAGCCAGATGCACGTCCCTCTTACAGTAGAAACATAGCTGATCTACTTTTCTCTTAAACTTYCTTTTTYTGGGCTGAGGAGATGGCGATGAAGGMGATCCTACCAAGGTACTAACAACCTCCTGCCGCTCCGTCCCAGGAACCGGTCCCCCAGACCCAGATCCWGTAGCCCAAGATCCTAGTCTGCCCCTCAATTCCTCTGTTGCTGGGACGTACTCAGGCGTGYCCAACCTCTGAGGTCTCCTCTCGGGTGTCCCTCCTGGCACTGCCGTGGGCTGTTCCTCAATTTCCTCTGATCCATACTCAGGTGTGCCCATCCTYTGAAGTCTGCTTTCTACGGCACCCTCCGCCTTAATCCCAATCTCTCTCTCAAGAGGTTCCTCCATCCTCTGCTCAGGCGAAAACAAACTCACCTCCTCCTGCATATCATGCACCGCCTCAAGGAGCACGCCCATCGATCCCTCTGCTGAGCCCTGAGCCGGCTCACTGYTAGATGGTGGCAGCCCCTCCTCTACTGCCAAAGGTACGACAGGGCCTGCCGCCGCCACTGGCAGCGTCGCGAGCTCAGTAGGGGCTCTAAACTCGAACGCCTCTCTCTCTGCCTGTCTCTGGGCTCTCGCCTCCTCTGGCTCCAGGATAGCTCTCCCCATAGGTGGCTCCTGGCGAGGCTCCGCTGCAGGTGGCTGCCCTGGCAATCCCTGTCCTGGCTGCCTCTGCTCTCCTTGCCTACTGCTCTCTGGCCTGTCCACCCTTCCCTGGGTTTGCTGCCTCAGGCTCTCGAYGATAGCTGCCTGGCTGGCCACCAAGGCCCTGAGTTCCTGAATTTCCATCTCCATAGCCTCCAGGCGTATTCCATGGCTTACTTCCTTTATCTTCTTCCCTGTCAGATCGCCCTCCAATAACAAGTGTCGGTCAAAAGTGGTCTTGGCCAGGAACTTGATTTTACGATCTAACCTCTCTTCCGCCTTCCTGGCTACTCCAAACCCGGCTCTGACTGGCGATGGAAGCTCCTCTCCTCTCTGCTCCCAGAAGTCCCTCCACATCTCAGGGATCTCCGGGGCCCTAGCGGGTATGCTGGGTGGCTGACCCGGGAGTGCTCCTGCTGCCTCTGATCTCTGCCTCTCCTGTTGCTGCTCTGGGAGCTCCCCCGCTGCCTCCAATCTCTGCCTCTCTTGCCATATCTCATTTATCCGTCTTGTTCTTCTCGCCCTCTTTTCTTCAGCCGTTTCTCCAGCTGGCACCCTTTCCCTCGTACGGAGGTCGACCCTCTTCGGGATTTCTGCTTCCATCTCCTTCTCCGGTTGGCACGGCTCCCGGCGCGGCTCAGCAGATGCTGGCTCCTCT